CTGAGAGGAGATTAAAGGGAGTTCGTGTACTGAATCGGGCACAGCGGATCTCGGGACCGGCAACGGCAGTGACAGCTTCTGATACAAGCGATCGAGCGTCTCTCGAGACGCTCGATCGCTTGACTGTAAAGCTCCCGGCCGGCCGTGTAATTACAACAGCCGGCCGGGAAGCTGCTCGTCGGGCTCCACTGTCTGCTCGTCACAGACGAGCAGACGAGTGGATTTTCGAGCCCTGTATATATATATATATAACACACACTCACACACACACAACTTCCACATTCATCACTATTATAAGAAATAAAAGTATAATTCATCCAAATCCGGTCAGAAATAGAGTTTATGGTTATATTATGAAGAGGCATACTCTCCCATCTCTTAAATGTGGAAGTTCTAACTCCACAAACTTCTAATTACTGAATCTAATAGAGATCTATAGATGTAACATGACTGTGGGTTTTGGGAAAGTTTCCAAAGGCTCTTTTCCTAAAGTTTGATTGTTAAACTGCTTAATTCATTTGGTTAGAATATAATTGGGTACAAACTGGAAGACCATTAATTAAACACGCAGATCAGGTCACAAATCTCAGTGGTGTAGTTTATTCTTAGGTTAATGGGCAACGGTGTAATGCCCCCTGGGCTGGTTTTCAATGATGTAGTTCCCCTTGGGCTGGAAGTAAGTGGTGTAGCATCCCTTAGGTTTATGGTCAAAGGTGTAGTGCCCCCTTAGGTTGATGGCCATTGCTGTAAGGCCCCCTTTAGGTTGGTGGTCAGTGGAAGAAGCACCCTCTTACAGGTGAAACTCGAATAATTAGAATATCATGCAAAAGTAATTGCAGTAAGTGCTGCAAAAGGGGCCCAAACCAAGTACTGAGTACATATGCATGCTTGTACTTTTCAGAGGTCCGATATTGTTCTATGTACAATCCTTGTTTTATTGATTGCATGTAATAATCTACTTTTTTGAGGTTGTGGATTTGGGATTCTTGGGGTTTTCATGAGCTGTAAGCCATAATCATCACAATTATGACAAATCACGGCTTGAACTATCTTGCTTTGCATGTAATGAGTCTATCTCATATATTAGTTTCACCTTTTAAGTTGCATTAGTGAAATAAATGAACTTTGCACGATATTCTAATTATTCGAGTTTCACCTGTACATTATTGGTCACTGAGAGGAAGAATGCCTCTTACCATAATGGTCAGTGAGAGGGAAAAAGGGTCTTTACATTGGTGGTCACTGAGAGGAAGAACGCCTCTTACGATTATGGTCAGTGGGAGGAAGAATGACCTTTTTACGGCTCGTCAGTGGAAGGCAAAGAAAGAGAGAGAAAGAATACACATTACATTGATAGTCATTGAGAGGAATAATGCCCCTAACAGTGATGGTCAGTGAGAGGAAAAATGCCACTTACATTGTTTGCCAGTGGAATGAATAATGTCCTCTACATTGGTGGTTAGTGGCAGGAAGAATGCCCATTACGTTATTTGACCGTTGAAGGAAGACTGCCCCTTACTTTGGTGGACAGTGGGAGCATGAATGCCCTATATATTGAAGGTCTTTGTGATGAAGAATGCCCCTTGCGTTGATGGTCAGTGGGAGGACGAATACTCCTCACCTTAATTGTCAGTAGGAAGACAACTTCCTCTTATATTGGTGGTCAGTGGAAGGATGAATGTCCCTTACGTTGGTGGTCAGTGGGAGGCTGAATGTAACTTATATTGCTGGTTAGTGGGAGGAGGAATGTCCCTTATGTTGGTGGTCAGTGGGAGGATGAATAACCCTTACATTGATGGTTAGTGGGAAGAAGAATTCACTTTACATTGATGGTCAGTGGGAGGAAGTATGCCCCTTATATTGATGGTCAGTGGGAGGAAGAATGCTTCTTATATTCATGGTCACTGACTGGAAGATCTTCCCTCACATTGGAAGAATGCCCGTTACAATAGTGGTCAATAGAAGGAAGAATGCCCGTTACAATAGTGGTCAATAAAAGGAAGAATGCCCGTTACAATAGTGGTCAATAAAAGGAAGAATGCCCGTTACAATAGTGGTCAATGGAAAGCATATCCCCTTACAGAAAGGTTAAAAAAGATCCTTGATGTCGGTGGATACTTCCCTGAGTGACATAAGTGGAGACACTCAACTGATCCTGTGCCACTAGCTCTAACAAGTGACAACATGATAGAACTATGCAGGGATCAGACCAGTCCCCCCTAACAGGTCACATGAGGGGGGAACCTGTTAACCCCTTTTACAACATGAACGGCTTATATCAGTTTTAAAGCCCTCAGTGCCAAAAGATCACTGGTCCACCCCAAAATAGAACATCACTAAGTTTCCAATGCTGAGAACTCCTGATCTGCCCAAACAAATTAGTTGGCTTCCTCTTTAACCATCAATAGACGTTATACACTAACCAGAATACTTCAACTTGCATTTATATATTTTCGAGATTCATTGGAACAGAGAAGTAGGAAAACATTTTGTGGTTTATATTTTTTGTAACCAATTCTCTACTTTTGACAAAAGATCCTAATTATTTCCATGACATGATGAGTGGAGCTTGGCCTTCCTGGAGACTTTGATTATTTTGATAAACCTTTTTGAAACAAACAAGCACAAAACATCTCCGCTCAATATTATTATTATCATTCAATTTTTTTTTCCTACCAATTATTGAAATTTTTACGATGTTCAGGTAATTTTTTTCTGACCTTGTACGGAATTAATTTCAGCAAATGTATTCATTTTTTCTTTATAATTATATTTCTTCCTATTTATACCAGACTAATGACGGCAGCATAATTAGCTTATACAAATCAACCAGGAAGAAATAATAGGTTTACAACTTTTCTGCATAAAGAATAGATTAGCGTTATCAAGTGTTTTTTTTAACCCCCACCGCACTGTGCAGCCACGGGGGCCGAGGCATATGGTCTGTGCATTTTTTAGAGGAGGCTCTACATTCATATTAATCATCCAGAAGGTCTTTCTGTCGCAGAGAGCCAGAATTGTTCGAACTGTTTTGTTTTTAGATGAGCTTGCCATATACAGCTGAAGCAGCCATTTGTGTTATAGCCCTTTATTGCTAATACATAAACGGCATAGGAGGCTTTTAAAATGGATCTTTAAAGTTCGCTCTTCATATGACTCTATAGGGCACACCAGGATGGCCTAATCATTTATGTCAGTAGAAAAATATTTTATTTTGCAGTGAATAAAAAAAAAAAAAAAAAAAAAAAAAAAACACAGTCTCTGGGTAGAGGAAATATTGTGGGTGTTTGACATCATTAAAGACTGCCTGGCGTCTGTTGTTTTCAATCAGGCAGACATTAGGTTCAATTTCTTAAGTTATAATGATCATCATTTAGCATAACAAACGTTCTATCAACATAAACAGCTGAAAATAGCTATTTCAGTGCTGAAAATGACGATTGCTTTTGCAAATAGAACATGTATTATAGCTTAGTGGCTTGATTATCCTGTCTGGTAGACTTGCAGGGAGGTAATTGGATCAGCAAGGCACGGCCAGGAAGCCGTGGCTAAGGTACATAGATATAGCATAGGTGAGTTTGGGCACAAGTGAGTGCTGAATTGCCAGTTGGACACAAGTGAGTGCAGGCTTGTGAGATGGGCACAGGTGAGTGCAGACAGTTAGCTGGGTATAGGTGAGTACAGACAGTTAGCTGGGTATAGGTGAGTACAGACAGCTAGCTGGGTACAGGTGAGTGCAGACAGCTGGGTACAGGTGAGTGCAGAGATCTAGCTGTGCACAGGTGAGTGCAGAGAGCTGGCTGTGCACAGGTGAGTGCAGAGAGCTAGCTGTGCACAGGTGAGTGCAGAGAGCTGGGTACAGGTGTGTGCACAGGTGAGTGCAGAGAGCTAGCTGTGCACAGGTGAGTGCAGAGAGCTAGCTGTGCACAGGTGAGTGCAGAGAGCTAGCTGTGCACAGGTGAGTGCAGAGAGCTAGCTGTGCACAGGTTAGTGCGGAGAGCTTGCTGTGCACAGGTGAGTGCAGAGAGCTAGCTGTGCACAGGTTAGGACGGAGAGCTTGCTGTGCACAGGTGAGTGCAGAGAGCTAGCTGTGCACAGGTGAGTGCAGAGAGCTAGCTGTGCACAGGTGAGTGCAGAGAGCTAGCTGTGCACAGGTTAGTGCGGAGAGCTTGCTGTGCACAGGTGAGTGCAGAGAGCTAGCTGTGCACAGGTTAGGACGGAGAGCTTGCTGTGCACAGGTGAGTGCAGAGAAGAGCTGTCTGTGCACAGGGGAGTGCAGAGAGCTAGCTGTGCACAGGTGAGTGCAGAGAGCTGGGTACAGGTGTGTGCACAGGTGAGTGCAGAGAGCTAGCTGTGCACAGGTGAGTGCAGAGAGCTAGCTGTGCACAGGTGAGTGCAGAGAGCTAGCTGTGCACAGGTTAGTGCGGAGAGCTTGCTGTGCACAGGTGAGTGCAGAGAGATAGCTGTGCACGGGTGAGTGCAGAGAGATAGCATTTTTGCAGATTGGACACACGTAAATACAAGCCACGTAGCTGAGCACAGGTGAGTGAATGCAGGCTTGTAAGCAGGGCACAGGTGAGTAGGTGCAGACCAGTGAGCTGGGCACGGGGGAAATACAGGCAAGTGAGCTGGGCACAGGGAAATGCAGGCAAGTGAGCTAGGCACAGGGAAATGCAGGCAAGTGTGCTGGGCACAGGTCAGTGCAGGTTTGCAGGCTGGACACAAGTAAATACAAGCCACGTAGCTGAGCACAGGTGAGTGAATGCAGGCCATTGAGCTGGGCACAGGTGAGTAGGTGCAGACCAGTGAGCTGGGCACAGGGAAATACAGGCAAGTGAGCTGGGCACAGGTTAGTGCAGGCCAGTGAGCTAGACACAAGTGATTGCAATCCAGTTATCTGGGCACAGGTGAGTGCAGGCTTGTAAGCTGGGCAGTAGTCAGTGCAGCTTTGCTATCACAGCGGTTCATTACTGAAGGCTGACTTGTGTTCTTAATTCCAGAGTAAGATAAAGAAGCGGTCCTGGGTTCTACACGAATGTCTTGAACGGGTTCCTGAGAATGTGGATGCCGCCAAGGAACTGCTAATGTTTGGCCTGAAAGGGACAGATCTGGAGGCCATGATTGCCATTGGGAAAGGAGAAGATGGTGGAAGGTATAAAAGGTTTCACTGTGTTAGATGTATCTGTGTATGAGTCTTTCATTTCAGTCTGCCGTGAGCTGGAGTTTTTAAATAACGAAACCTGGGCATGTTTTCATTTTTCGAGCACGCCGTGTACCACAAGTGACACCTCTCCGGAGATGACAGCAGAACTTCTGGCTGCCGGTGTCGCTTTCACATTTGCATATCCGTACACAAATGGCAACAGTCGACTTGCGAATCCTATCCTCTGATTAATGATCTCTAGCTTAAGACGGCGTTCTGAAGTGCCTTATTCCTTAACATGTTAATGCATGCGTAAATTCATTTACCAATCTTCAATCTTGCCCGTTCTAATTATCCTTTTCCTATCTGATGGTTATGGTAATTAGCGCTCTTCAGTAAAATGTTGTGTAATAATATACAGTCTCTTGAGCGCTTTGATTCGGAGCAATGTATTATCATTACAGCGGGCGCTTTCCCAATGTCGTCTCAGTGCCTCCACCGCTCCCCTGTTGCTTTTTGATAACCACTTAAAGTGTGGGTTTTAATGCATAATATATGCAGCTGCTCTTTAGTGGAGATAGCCTGTGTCTAAGTGGAGGAGCCAACTGCCCTTTGGCTGCAGGAATCGCAGCTCCACGAATCAGACTTTTAGCAATGTAAGGGAATTTTTTACATTTCTTGTGTGTGCGTGTGTATATATAAATATATATATATATGTATATATAACAAAGGGCCAAAACTACTTCTTTGTAATGTATATGCTGAAAAAGTGGACCTGTCCTGGCCTAAAATGTGAGATAACAGTACCGCTTATGTGCAGGTATTTTTTGCTGCTTGCAAACAACTTTTGATTGTATCCCTGTGGAGCCCTTCTGACACTATGCCAGGCTATACACAGGACCTCAACTTCTCTTTAAACTATGATTGTGCTCTGCCCCATCCTTACATTAAAGGAGAACTTTAAGGTGAGTGATTTCCACTCATCCTCATAGTTAGAACCGACTTGTGACAATGTAACTGTCACATGTCGGCTCTATAGATCGGCAAGTGAGTGAACACATACCTTCGCTCGCTCACTTCCTGATCATCTCCCTGCAGAGAGCGGTGACTATCAGTCACTGCTCCCTGTAAGGATTCCCCCCTCCCCTCTCCGATCCTCCAGCGCTGAGTGGAGGAAAGGACAGGGGAGGGGGCGGGCACAGCAGATAGGCAGAGCCCGCTGTCAATCATCCAGCTGGTTGGGTCTCAACAGCATTGTCAGGATCCGTCCCGACTGTGGCGCTCTCAGTATATAGCTGGGGCTATAGTCCGCTATATACTAAGCTTTGGGTCATGGGAGGAGGTTAGTATATGTCCTCCCGTGACCCTAAAGAAAACTATGGGATAAAAAGGTTACCCCATAGTTCTCTTTTAAGGACTATTCCTGTCTTTTAGCTGTCAAATGTTAGAACCATTAGTCTACATGTACACAAATGCCTGGGGGTTCCTGCGGCAGGAATCCCCAGACGCCCATGTGCATGAGGCCTTAGAGGGCAATAGAGGCTCTGATTAGTGTACTAAAAAAATCACAGTCTTTACATCTTTTGCTGCTTTTTTGAGACAGTATGGCGTTCAGTAAACTCAAAAGATCTGAAAAATAGCCAGGCAACAAACATTTTTTATGGACCAGCAATGTCAGCCCCAATATATTTTTTTTACCGCTGTCCCACAAAGGAAATGTATAGTGCTTTTTTGTATGTGCAAAGTGTTGGAGCTATATAAATACCATATAATAATAATAATATATATCATGTTTTTGGATGGAAACATAATTTAAGATTATATATTTTTCATTCTGTTAATCAGGTTCAAATGAAAGATTGTTTGTAATGACTTCATATTTACCTATTTACTGCCAGAAGAGGGCGCTGTAGGCACCTTTTTACATGTTAACCAGACTAATCAAAAAGTGACACTGGCAAGAATTTTAAATCTCCAGAATGAAATATCCTGCACAGGAAGAGCGCACATACTTACGTTTTCCCTGCCAACACTGCTGATTGCTGCTCCGTTCCAGTGGAATTGAGGTCTGCTGGGAAACTGATGCTTCTGTGAGTGTTGATTTCTGTGGTCCTCCGCAGCTCTCACTGGTTCCTCTTGCTGACCTCCTCATCATTACTGCCTCCCGTAGTGACATGAGGGTCATGGAAATAACCTGTGAGAGCTGTGGGGGACCAGGAGATTGAAACTCTCGTAAGTGTGTTTTTTCATCAGACTTTGGGGGACCATTCCTCCCTAATAAAGCCGCACTTGATCATGTGGGCAGGGGAAAAATTAAGAATGTTCACTCTGCTTTTGCTTGAACGTCTTTTTTGGAGATTTTAAATATGAGAGGGTTGCTTTCAGTGCCTTGCTGAAAAAAATAGCATGTTTTCAGAGCACAATAGCCCAAGCTTTAACCCTTTAGGGCCTTAACCCCCCCCCCCGAACTGCAAACATCAGCAAGCTATTTGTAAAATCTAAGGTTAATCCTGTTACTCATATGTAGTTGAATTACACTTCCTGGTCTTTTGAGGCACTGGTGATGTAGCCTGGGCATCACACAGCTGCACCCTGGGAAGGCTGCGTCACCAGTGCCTTCTAGGGAGATCTTGACTGTAAACTGCGAGATATTGCAAAATTTCACAAAATCTCATGTGATCTCAGGGAAGGGAGAAGATTTATTTGTTTTCTTAATGTTTATATGTTGCCAAGGCTTCAGCGACGTGAATGCTGGCTAGTGTAATGCTGCTTACATAGAAGCAGTAACAAAACTGCAGATCTCATACAGCGCATGGGTGAGATTTGGCACTGACATCATCGGTGGGCTGGCAGCAAAAATGTTGAAGAAGAAGCCTACTCGTCACCTATGGTGTCTACTATTCAATATGATGGTGCAATAATAGAGGAGGAGGAAAAGAGGATCATCAGCATGTGCAAGACAATTATATTTATAGGTCATTATTTTGCTATGGTAAATACAAAAATGATGGCAGTTTCATATAGGTCTTCTTTCAATGCTTCAGACTCAAGGAGAGAGAGAGTCTGAAAGAAAACAACCTCTGACATGTTTTCTCTTTAGAATCCCCACAATGCTTTGTTAATCCTGTGTTATGGGTGTACCCTTTTTTGCATAATCATTTTATAAAATTTGTTCAATTGAGGTATAAAATACCAGCATAAAAATATAGCAACTTAAAAAAAATAGTTCTAATAGTTATTATTTGTTTTGTAGCCGCACTGTTTATTCTTATGACTGGTATGCTTGCCTTTTTTGTCAGATTTATTATACCTGGGGATATAGACATTGATGATGTTGCATATGAAGACTTCCTTTCTCCAGAAGAAGAAGCAGAATACAGAAAAGAGAAAGAAGACCAGAGGAGGAAAGACCTTCTTCAGCTGGTGGATTTTGACAAGTGAGTGCACTGCTTTTGTATTATTATTTATTACAAACACTGGAAATGATTTCACCGGTATACACATGTGAATACATTGTCAAAGTTTAGGTAACAGAGCTCTGGATAGCAGTCAGTAAGACCTGACTGGTTATTTCTCTTCCCCATACGATCCAAAAAAATAAGTAAAAGGTTTTGGCTATAGATATACTTTATTGGCAATGAGATATTTGACAGTATTTCCAAATGTATAACTGTTTGATGACCACTTGCTGCTTATTATTTCAATATCCTACGGGGAAGGTAAGATTCTTCAAAAACATTTTGTTAAATCCTTTCAGTATATGTAATAGAATAAAAAGCTGGAGATTTGTTTTAATTAGGGCTACAACCAACTAATCAGTTAATCGATATTAATTGTTAATGAGAATTGTTGTCAACTATTTTCCTTATCAATTAGTAGGTGTAGATCCCCTGGTTCTCTCCTTCACACTGGTAGCCGGTGTCTCATTGGCGC